ATTATTATAAATGACTTTTAAAGTCATCCAAGTTATAAAGATGCTGTTGTATGTAAAGACACATTTTAATCCTTAAACATGTAGCAACATTCTCATTTTAAAAAAATTTGTCAAACACAAAGATACCTTATAAACAATGCAACATACTTTAGTTATTGGTGTTATCAATGATTTTTTCCAATACAATAGTGCCTTTGGTTAATACCATACCACAAATCACAGACTGTATGAAGTAATAGTGACTTAAATAAGCCCACACATTTTGAAAGATTGAAGTGTAAAAGCAGCACAGGCTGCACAGATGAAAGTTAGTACAATGGATAACGTCCAGACTATATGATGAGAGACACAGGAAAAAAAAAAAAAACTACTTTAAGTATTAAGAAATCAAACATTAACAAAAAGGCACCTAAGAAAAGGAGTATAGAAGGAGAGGAGCAGGGTCTTATCCTGCTACCAATCACAAAAGGCATGACATAATCATACAATTTAAAAATATTTATTGAGAGGACTCCCTGCAATATTATTTAAAAAAATACAGTGAGACTGTCAAATATTTGAAGCTAGAGAGGATACTTACAAAGTCATCTCCTGAGTCAGCTCCCATAGACGCCACAGATTCCTTGCTCACGGACCGTGGGATCCTAGTAGTACCTCCTGGCCTCTGAGCTACAGCAGTTTCTTCTGCAATTTTCTTCTTTAATTTTGCGAACATTTTTGCCGTGTGACTATTCTGCACAGATGACAAGCTTTTGAACTACTACAGTAATCTTGGGTGAATGGAATCAAACACTGGTGTCTAAAATGTTTCAGGGACCCAAGTTAGATGAATTTCCATTTAATGTGGGCCAAGGTCTATGGCAACACAGTATCTATGAATCAAATGAAAGAAATATCTATTGTTAAACACTGGAAACACTTCACATCTGAGTTGCTATGTTAAACTTCAGGTTTCAAAATTCTGTTTTGCAATTTAAATGTATACTTAATAGAATACATTACTTAATATTTACAAAGCACTCAGGTGCTTCAGTTGTACACATGGATGAGGAAATCCAGTGCCAAAGAGGTGAAGGAACCTGCCAATGACTGTGTGGCTAAGTAACAGGGCTAGTATTTGAATACAGAACTCTCTGATTCACAGATCTCAACTTTTAAAAACTTACACCACATTGGCTATGGTACATACCATATTTGGTAAAAATTTCTAGGTTACCATTACAAAAATCATGACTTAATATTTTCAAATCCCTAATAATACAGTCAGAGTTAAAACATTTCAAACATATGTCACTCAATGTGAGGAAAACATAGAACATTCTAATGTTCCAGATGTTTTGCAATTAGCTGTTTCCTAGAAAAAAAAATTGTAACTTACAAAAGAACAGATAAGTCACTCAATTACAAGAAATAGGTAACCTATGAGATATCCTTTAATCTTTCGTGAAAATGCCCTGTGGATTGCTTTCATTTTGATAAAACTACCCAAACACAATTCATTTTTTTCAGAATGTTTGACATATTTAACATGAGATTCAAAACATCTCTTCCCCCTCAATAGTGAATATAAATAGTGACATTCTAGTTCCAATCTTAACTTTCCATGTTTTGTGGGACAGACCAAAATTCTAAGATCTACAGATGACTTCTAACTACTTCAAATCATTTAGTATGTTCGTAAAATTCTTCAGCAACTTTACCTTTAGTGTCTGTAAACCTCTACTCACCTGGCTTATCTACTAAACAGCCTGGATATCAGTACATTCTGCCCTGTATGAAGACAAGGATAAAATGGGTTGGATATTTCAAGTGTAAAGCTGCAGTGCTGGGGGGAAGTGAGAGAAGTGGAGAAAGAGGAGGGAGTCAGGAGAAATAGAACTTGTCCATACCACAACTCTCAGGGGGCTAGCCTCCCTCATCCTGATCGCCCATGAATTTGGGATCTATGAGCTTTACTTACAGACATACAATAACATCACTCACTGCCCAAGATGCCTAAATTCACTTTTCCATGGAAGCCCTGAACAAAACAACTTGAATAAGATTAAGCTTTTCCGGGGCTGGAATTTATTTCTCAGTTAATGTCCATAGACACAGGCTGTTTACCTGGCCAGACCGTGGGCTGTCTGTTCGTAATCTTGATTCCTCTTAAGACAGCCGCTGAGAAAAAGGACGGCAAAGTTGAGTGAAAGACAGATGCCTAACGTCCGAAGGTCCCTGCCAGCAGGGCAGTTTGGAACCCATTCCCTCTAGCCACGCCCTTGCTTGGACTGTCAAAGGCTGGAGGAGACGGAGCGTCCAACATCTCTAAGTTGACAGGCAGAAAACTGAGCTCTAGTGAGGACTAACTTATCCAGGGTCGCGCAGAGGATCCAGAACGCCAAGCTCCAGACTCCCAGGCCGGGGCAGCCCGCCTCCGGCCCCACCGGTGGCTTTTTCAGTACCTGGTCCCGCCCCCCGCTTGGGGTTTTGGGCAACCCGATCTAGACCGCTTGGGGGACAGAAGCCACCCGAGAGAACTGGGGACCTGCTTATGTCCCCGGAACCCCAGCCCGCGCACCTGCCGCTCTGTGGCAGCCGGCAGAGCCCCGCCTCCGGGGCCTCTCGAGAGCGACGGCCAACATCAAACCAGCCCCCACCGCCCGCCGGTGTTCCGAGCAGCGACCCGGAACCGCAAGTCCTCGGCGCGCCGGAAGTCGCCGCGCGGGGTTGGCAGGCGCGGCGCATGCGTGATGCGTGCCGCCCGGGACCTGCCCGAGTCTCTGGGGTAGTTAGACCTGAACGTCTGGCGGACGCGGGTACCTGTCGGGTCAGTCCCGCCGCCCAAACATTTCAGCGGTTCCTTTTAAGTGGGTGATACAAAGTGACAGGAATATGAGGAACCTGGTGGCAGTCGGTGACCCAGGGTGGCGTGAGCCGTTCTCGGGCGGTGGTCGCGTAACTGCCAGCCCGCTTTCCCAATGGTCTGCTCCCGGACAGCCGCTGGTTACTACGTGGTGGCAATCTTAGGAAACCTGTGCCTACAGAAACTAGAACCGGCAATTTTCAAATTGTGACTAGTGTTTTTATCTTTTGTGTCTAGGATCTCCTGTCGGTTATGTTTTATATTGCAACCCAGAACACACGCTTGTACATCTGAAGTTTCCAAACTCGTCCCCTAGTTATATAATGCACCCTGATACACTGCCATTTAAAACCATGATGGTGGCACCTCACTACACTATCCACTAGGGCTACCTCCGCATGACAAAGGAGTAAAGTTCAAAAAGGACAAACTGCCTTGTTCAAATTCACACTGCAATTTAGTTAGATCTCAGCGCTACTCAATCCCAACCACGCATCCTGTTCTAAAGAACTTGCCCCACACCAAACAGCAACAAAAGGTCTGCTGATTCGTCTGCTAGTTCAAGAACCCCACCCTCGGGGCATCCCAGTTCTTGCCACTAGGAGGAGGGAGTGGAACAACTGAAATCAGAACACACAAGAAATTCAGACTAGAATAAGCATAAAATCAATAACCCTCATAAAATAGTGGGATTTATCTGAGGCATCATCTGAAAGAGGCAAATCGTGACAGTATTGCCCCTGGGCTATCAACAACAGTGAAGAGACTCAACACTTTAAGCAAATAATGTTTATTTTGATATTGACGATACACTTAATATATACGTGGATTCAAGATACAAAATTCATTTACAAGAGTTCACACCTGATGAATGTAGTCATATTCCTAGATAACATTTATCAATGCAAAAATTGCTTTAATACACTGACAACAAAAATCAAAAATTCCATAATCTTAACAAACATCGAAACAACGTTTAACTTTCCTTCCTCTAGTATTTAAGTACCCTCAACTTGGCAGGCACTGTGTAACAGGACAAAAGAAACTAGAAAGCCTACCACATCTGCTTTGCAAAATCACAGTGTTTACTTTGAAATTCATTTATTGAAGTAGTAAAAGTCGGCTTGCTATCTTTTATGACAAATTACATATCAAGTAAGAGCCAGACATGATGAACTCCAGAAAATAAAATGTTTCAAGAACATTTCAATTTCTAAAACCTATTATTAACCATAACAAAGCAGAAAGACTACTGAAAAGGAACGAATCAAAAAGAAAAAAAAATACTGTTTAAGACAATGTATGGCTTAAGCAATTTAGAAACACCAACAGGCAAGACTACAACATCACAAATGTTCAAGTGATACTAACCAGTCATTGGTAAGAAGTAGCCCCCTCAAAATTTATTCTACTGATACATATAAAATTTAATAAAACCAAGTGATTTACTAACAGAGCTGAGTTGATGAATTTTGTTCTAAAGTATTAACCCACAATACCCAAACTAATACACATGAACAAGACTATGTTCAAAGATGACAGTGATCAGTGAATAGCTAGATAGGCAACCAAGTAGCTTCATTATTTGCAACGACGATTAGCAGCACTTGGGTAAGGATTGTTACATCATTGTGCTTCAATCTCTTGAAGAGAGCTAATAAATATAACTCTATAGTCCCTATCATGTTACAATTCTATAACATTTTAGTTACAAGCACAATTTTTAAAAATATTTCACACTACTAAAAATCAAGTAATTATATCCTCCAAATGTAATTTCTCCTATGATTTAAGCAAGTGCATTTTTGCCTAATAGTGATAATGCAGACAATAGGTTCACCATTATTTTCAGGACAAAAAAAAAATCAACTTAAAAAAGGACAGTCAACCTTAAAATGGTTAACATTTCAGAGAAAACACTAAAGTGGCTTGAAATTACAAAAATCTTTGGAGCAAAGTAAAATATGATTTATAACTGCTTTATCTGACTTGACTAATGCAAGCACTATTTATACCAGTTACACAAAGAAGATAACTTCTTTGGACAAATTTCATGTGTAATCTCTACTGTGGAAATCTCAGGACATCATATCTCCTTTTTTCTATTATCTAAGAACCTTTCTACCTCAACTAGAAGAATCCTACAGAATATAGGACTGTCTGATATTTGAACAGACAGTTATTAAAAACAAAACCCAGAAAACTAATGATATGGTCTATTTGGCAAAAGGAATGCGTTCAGGTAACTACAAAAAGACATAAAACTCAGGTTATAAATTATTCTACTGAATCGTTAAGAGGTCATTTTAATAATGCTATAATAAGTGAGAGTTTAAAGACCACCTATTTCTTCAGGAAATATTACTAACAATTAGTACAGTGCTACTTCAAGCAATTTTTTCCTGCATATTTTTAATTTAGAAAAAAAAAGGTATGCAAAGGAGGGTAGGAAAAGGATTTTGAAAAAATATAGTGGTTATTTCTCCATGTTTGGAAATATTTATTTGGGGACTATCATATATCATTTCATATTTTACAATGGTTACTCATATTGCCTTGATGTCTGAGAAAATTTATGGTTCAAATTGTAATGTTTATAAATCTCAACTTTGATCACAGACAAGTGGACATTCATAGTAGTTTCAAGTGAGAAAATATTAGTGATATACATACACCTTTCAATGCAGACCTATAAGAAGGCTAGCCTTATTTCTTACATCAGAAAGTGATAACTTGGCCTATAATTTTCATTCCGTAAGTCTATGAGAAAAGTAAAAATGTAAAACTTGAAAATTTCTGAGGTCTTTACAATATTACACCTAAGTAAGATGATTGTCTTAGGATATAGACTGGAAATTTCCACTAAAATAGGAAAATACTCCTAATGAACCATCTGTTCTGTGATGAAAGTCAGGCTTGACTAAATGAGTATGTAATATAATGTACTTCAAACTATTAGAAAATTTTGAATCTACGGTTTTATTGTATTTTCTAAGGAAAAAACCAGAGTGGTCTGATTACTTTAAAATTAATTTTTAAAACCATAAAAAATTAACAGAAATATTTTGAAATTAGGAAATGGTACTTTAGTGATTGACAATATTATGTAAAAATGGACTTCTCGAAAGTCAGTTATTACACCAAAGTGATAAGTAAAAAATACCAATTTTAGCTTAAGCAAACATTTTATATTTACAGAAATCCAAAGAAAATATTTCTATGGCACTAGCAAATTAGTTATACTTTCATACATTTTTTTCACCTAATTGAGTACATGTCCCACTACATCTTCCTGTATCTTTTCTGTCAACAGGTAACTGCATTTATAGATCACTGCCTTAAATATAGGGTATGCTTAAATAAGATTTTGTGTTCAAAACTCAGTGAAGCTGGGAAATGTTTTAAAATTCTAATTTAGAAAAAAATGAATTACTTTTTATTTTCTTTTAAAAAGTAAACTGCACCCAGTATCAAGGAAAGATTGGGAGTCATGGCACAATTTCGTTGTGTAGAACGGGAGGCCAGGGCTTGGTTTTCTCAGCAGTTTCTATCTTATTCAACTGCAGACTTAGTAGCCTCTTTACTATCCTTAGGGGTAATGGTCATATCCACAGTGTCAATCTTATCTAATGCACACTTTATTGCTGCTGCTTTTCTCAAATTAATGCCCACATCGGGCCTGAGTCAGTTCCATGAATTTGATTGAGATAGCATACTATCTGCTCTGCTATTCGACAACAGCAAAAAATGATTTGGTTACTAAAACAATAAAACATCGTACCTTATGGACATTTTCAGTGATTTCTCAGAATTAATACACTACTACCTTTTAATATTTAAGAAAAAGCCTATAATGACTTTAAATTTAACACTATAGAGTAATTCAAGAGTATTACAAATAGTTGGCTATTTTATTAAAAATACAGTGGGGCAGCAAATATAACAATTTGAGAGTGGTAATATTGACTCTTGAATTCATTTCTCAGTTTATTTTACAATTTAATGTTGAATCAGATTTAATCAGAAAAATGGGGTAAAAAGTTGCTTTGCAGTTACATTTTATCATGCAAAAATAACCTCTATTTAATTTCTGCAGTGAATGTACTAAGTGTATATTAAACATCTCTTACATTCATTCATGCAAATACACATGTCAGCTGCAGACAAGAGTAGCCAAACATTGATACTCTGTAATATCTCATAGATTCATAAATTGGCACTGCACATATTTTCTATAATTGTATCCTCCCCAATTCTATCATCTTTGGTAGAGGTTTGAAGGCCAATTTTTTTTATAGCATACCATGCACCTAATATTAAGAACTACATCATGTGTCAAATCGCAAAACACAATTGGTCTCATAGAGACTCAGCAGTACAACTGGAGGCATTTTGTTCACTGGAAATATTTCTCTCAGGTGAGCATACTCATCTTTATTTTTATTTTTTTGTGGTGCTAGAGATAAAACCCAGGAGGCTAAAGCATGCCAGGCATGTATTCTATTGCTGAGGTACAACCCCAGCTAGAGCATACTCATCTTTGATATGCAAATCCAATACAAAAAATTACAGTTGGAAATGTTAAGACAGGACTAAACCACAGCTGCTGTAAATACAGACTATCAACCTCCTATTCCTTATTAGGTCTTACCCCACCTAGGTTAGGCCTTCACGAGCTAATGCCACCTTTTCTGCCTCATAGAGACACATATAAAATGAGGCACACTGATGAAATTTTATTCCATAATTAAAATTTAGTTATCAGGTATTGAAATGACAACTAGGAATGTATTTCCCCCACTTAAAAACATTTTT